GTGCAGCAGCAGAGGTGGCCCCGGCCCCACAAGCTGGCCAAGGGGGCAAGAGGAGTCAGCCTCGAAATTTGGGGGTGAGGGGACCTGCCTGCCCGGTGGCAATGGCAGGTGGATCCCGACAATATTATTGTTTTATCCCTACAGGTATAAGTTTGAGTTTTTCTCTCCTAATGCCAAGTATTTAAAACCTCTAGAAACCAATGATTTGACAATCAATGATTGCGCGATACTTTCAATTTGAATATTCAAAGGCTCCACAAAATGGGCTATCTTTTTGTGAAACCGAGCACATCCCCATCTAGCAGAGGGTCTGGGGGAATAGGATTTGGTGGGGTCACCCTCCCCACCCTTTGCTTTTGGGACATTTGCAGGGTTTTATCCATCTTTCCCTGAATGAAGCAGATGCCTCCAAAGCAGCTCAGTGTTTTCCCCTCAGATGCACAGGCTGGGCTCCAGCCCTCTCAGATTTCATTTGCTACCTGCACTGAGCACTCTGCAACGGACTGACTTGCTTTTTGCACATTTTTTCACATTTTAGGGCTAAATTCTGAGATTTTGGGGCCCACATGACAGCGGGCAGGCGTGGCCTAACAAAGAGGCTGCCCTGGGCACCTGGGTGGCTGAAGTTAGCTGGGCCCACTTGTCCCCACAGCATTCCCTCCCTCTGCCTGGATGCTGGGCTCACCCTGGAGTTTATTTGAGCTTTCCCCCTGTTCAGGCTGTTTGTGCTGCACAAATCGGCCTTTTCCTCACAAAGCCCAGTGCTGGCCTGCCCTGGGAGCTGCAGCTGTGGGGCTCAGCGTGTGGCTCAGAGTTTTGGGATGAACATCCCCTCCCAGCACTGCTGGAATTGGGGTTTTTAGGCTGCTTTTAAGCTTTTCCCTGGGGACCACAGCCTGAGACAGGGGCAGGAGTGAGGCAGAGAGCAGGCCAGGCTGTTAATCATCTACCAGCAGCTCAGGCTGGCTGTCGTCACAGCAGAATCTTTTTTTTTTTTCTTTTTTTCTTTTAAGTTGAACAAATAACACTTGATTTCTGTGGGGAGTGAGGCCATTCCTGCCTCTGAAATGTGCCCCTGCAGCTCCTGGTAGGCCCAGCCTTGCCTGGGACAGCTTTATAGGGACACAGCCCACCAGGAGAGGAGCCCACCTAAGGAATGTGCTGTGCAGGGAGGGGAGGGGGTCTCACTGAGGAATTTGGGATCTGAAACCCTTCCCTTAGTGGGGATGGAGCAGCAGTGGGTGTGTGCAGGCTGCAGGGAGCTGGGGTGGTGGTTGTTTACCCCTGAAAGCAGAGAGCAGAGCCTGCAGGCTGCCAGCTCCAGCCCTGGGGGAGCTGGGTGCCCTCAGGAGGCAGCAGAGTTCTGGCTGTTCCTGGGCCTCAGAGCCTTTCCAGGATGAGGAAAACC